GCTGCCGGGCGCGCGGAGCGGCCCGCGCTGCCCGGCGGCGGCTTCAGGCACCCCGGAGCGCGAGCCGGGCCTCGGCGTCCGCCTCGGCCGCCCCCGGGCTGCCCTCCCTTCCCCCTGCTGCCAGTGGCTGCTGCGTTCAAGGGGCCCTCTGTACCCACCGGCCAGGGCAGCTCCCAGCGCACTGCGCGGCCCCCTYGCTCTCAAACAACCCGTTACTCGCTTAGGCTCCAGCGGCTCTGGAAACTCTCCCATTCACATCTCTCCCCCGCCAGGTCCACGAAACACAAGGCTGCAAACAGCAGCACTGTGCTGGGTACAGCCTTGAGCCAGACCTGCATCYGCACGGCCGTGATTACTGCCCAGCTCATACCTGTGCTGCTGCCACGTCCAGTTTGCATCGCGCTCCTCTTTTTCCACAAGTGTCTGACCTCCTCRGCTCCCCCTCAGGCCCTGATTCTCTGTAATCCCAATTAAACTTCTGTGYGTATGTGCATGCGAGCAGAACTGTGGCGTAGCCAGTGAAATCCACGGAGCACAGAAACCTGAACACAGCAGCCCGTGTCACCACACGGCCACCGCGTGGCTCTCAGCACCAGCCCTCGGGCACAAGCACAAATGAAACGCGGGTGCCCGCGCCAGCCTCGCTGCAGAAAAGGCTCAAATCTGCCTTGAAAACAAGGCGGGGTGGGGCAAGAAATCACAGAGCAGGAATTTTAATCCACAGCCTGGTACGAGCTGCAGTGCACCCACCATATACTTAATGGGCTTATTGCACGTGGAAATGTATAGCCTTGATCCAGTATATTCTGGAGTAGCCCCATTCCAAACCCTGTTCACAGTAATAGCAGCCTCATGCCTTTGAGTCAGTAATTTACGTTACAAAATAAAGCTTTAATCAATCAGATGGAGAAATCAATAACGGGGTGAGCAATACTGTTATATCCATATGGGATTTAACGGTTCTGGTTTCAGTTTTTCCATAGGCTTCTCCCCCCTTTTTTAAAAATGGGCAAGCACAGCTTCCAGCAGGGACTGAGAGTTTTCGGAGCATGGGAAAGAGGCTTGTGGAGATTTTAACTGACACTTCATAAGTCAGAAGTTTGAGGGTCAAGGGAAAAAAACTAGAGGAGTGATTCTTCTAAATCGTTTGGCAGCAAAATAACAACTGAAGTGCTGTTGAAGTCAGTCTTGATAAGCCTTCAGGATTAYAGTTGGGTAATTCAGGGCTGTCTCAACTACTATTTCAGGCCTTCTTCAGGCTCAGGAAGGCAACCCAAATTCCAAGCTCATGGTCCACATTTTAGCAGRTTTTACAGTTGTGAGAAAAAATATATACACACACACACAGATGTAGTGAACCTCCTTGAAAATGGCCATTCCAGCTCTACAGCAAACTCCTGGAGCTGTATAAATGCAAGCCACAAGCTGCCTTCTGTCACAGTGACAAGCACGAGGTCCAGGCGAGAAGGAGGAGCTGCTGTACTGCCCAGAGCTATTGCCGTCCTAACACTAAACTGACCCAAGCATATGGCCATATCTTTAACACTACTCATCCCCCCAGACTTGCCCTTGTATTTTCTTTTTTAAATACGGTGCATATGGCTCATTAAAGCTAACACAGTCTTCTAGCTTCCTTAGAGAATTTACTGCTGGTTTTGCCACTGGCATTCCTTAACTCCAGTGGTGCAAGCAGATCTTTCTTGCTGGAAGCATCCACGCTAAAATCCATTTCCTGAGGCACTGCTCCTCACTGCAGCAGCCCTGAGGTGCAGGGCAGCCTCTCCCATRTCCATCACTGAGAGGGCCACACACACAGTAAAGGCATTAGAGGACTTCATACTCCTCTGGACTATCAGAATTAAGATCAGTTCATTCAGCAGACAGAAATGAGCCATTCCTGCTCTGTCTGGTTCTGTATACACAGAAATATCTCTTGGCTACTCTTTCTTGAGCACCAGAGGGTTTCAAGATCCTCTAAGAAACAAGAACCACCTACCCTCTTCCCAACTGATATTTGCATTATTGCTGATGTTCCAGATAAAGCACACATTCCTTATTTCCTCTTGGCAAACTGACTTTATAAAAGTGTACTCAAAGTCACCAAACCTCATCTGGGATAGGATCCTTCAAAAGAAGGGCAAGCAGCTCTTCACTCTGGTGTGGCACTGCAGAAGAAACGAGACTAGATCAAACCATATCTCTGTGAAACACAAGGGCACTGTATACCAGTAAAAGCAGGAGCAGAACTCTTCCTAGTGCATAAATTTCCCTGATGATGTCCTGCTCAAGCCTAGATCCTCTCCTTTAATAAAGCCAAGTATCAGCTTTGGAAGAAGAGGTCCAAGGACAGGAGAGTTTTATGCTAAGTAAAAAACTCACTCAGTTCACTAAGTAAAAAACTCACTCAGTTCATAGCCTGAGCCTCAACAGAAGTTTTGAGTTTCCAGAGCATCCAACACTTAGTTGCAGGTCACCGAAGAAATAAGTGGGAAGAGCTTCCAGTGACCCTGTCCAGTGCTCAGATGGGCAACTAAGACGGACCCATCATTGATCAGAGTTAAGTAAACAAGGCCCTTGCTCATGACAAATGGGCTGCAAGAAGCCACTGGACAGATACAAAAGTTGTCCCAGGTGCTGGTCCAAGCACTAGTCCTTCCCTTAATCTTGGTCACGTCCCATTTTGCCCGTCAGTCTCCGCCGTTGGGTCTTCGTGGTTCGCCCTGTGCTGGACTTCCGGATTTTCTTGTGTGGGCCTTGCCCCCGCTGGGGTCGCTTTCCTTTCGTCTTTTTCCGGCTGTGCATGTGCAGCGTGGCAGTAAGTGAGGAGATCCTGCACAAGGCAGAAAGAAAGAAATGCCTGAGGTCCAAAATCCATAGGAGCAAGKTGACACCAAATCAACAGCAGGACAGTCCTGTTTGGTGCAGTAGAAATGGATGCTAGCACCTGCAAACCCCACTGTGCTGAGCATCACCCTGACAAGAACAAAAGCTTTTAAGTCTACATTATGCAGTCACAATCAAATGCAGCCTTCGAGCAATGCGCAGTCCAAACACCACAGTGTTAAATAATCATTYTGCCAAAGCAGCTGTAAGCTCTGGATATTGAAAAATGTGGGGAATGCAAGAGCTTTAACCTTTAGAGTCCTTTTGCCTACATCTCAGAGAATCACTACACGCTGCAATATCCATCGAGGAGGATAACTGAGCTCCTAATTCATTGCAAAGCCTGACCCACATTGCAGCAGCGTCTTCCTGCTGCTGTCACCAGAAATCAATATAATAGGAAGCCTGGCAGCTAGCTGGGACCCCAGGCTGGGAATGAAGTGTCCCAGGCCGGCTCACGCTCTGCAAGTGCCCTCTGCTGGCTCCTATCCGCAGGCAACCCGGTAGTCCAGCATCATCTGTTCCCACACGGCTGCTCTGGGAATGCAGGCTGAGCRAGAGACTTCTCAACAGCCCACGAAGCCCATAGCACAATGTTGAACAAGTTAATACATACTTTTCAGACAGGAAGGGGTTTCTGGACTTTTTGGGAACTGCTCTTGTAGGTCTGTTCACCTCTTCCTCCTYCTCTTCTTCTGATYCAATATTTTTTCCCTTAAGAAAGAAATAACATCAAAAATGTATGTAATGTGTAGACAYATTAAAACAGACAGTATCTAGTGAATTGAGTGTTTCTACTGCCTCCCTGTTTGCATCCTGCTTTGTGAAACATCTAGCAATGAACCAAATTCTTTARACCTTCTACATCCCTTATTGTCCAAGTCTTAAGATTTCTTACCACGGCCCTGCAAAAAAGGAAAAGTCAGAAAGAAATACACAAATCCACTCCAAGATCCARCTCTTCAGCAGGATCTTAGTGGCTATGCAATTCAAGTTTAAATGATGAAGATGTTATTTTTCCTTTTATTTACTACCGAAACCTCTTCAAGTAGTTTTTTAGATTAGACAATGCCCTTAAATTTTTAAGAGACACCTCACTGTCCCAACATGGACACTTCTGCAAAGACCTCAAATCCAGCCACAACTTGTAAAGACGAAAAGGATTCAAGTCAACTAGTCCCTCAAACTCTCAGTGAAACCCATATGAAAGGTCAGTCAAAATCTGTTCTGAAATAGAAGGCACCATAACCAGAACTCGAATGAATTGTTTCCTTATCKGAGGTCCAAGCGGAGGATTATAGAGAAATTCTTCTTAAACCTAGTACCAATTTTTCCTGGACAGTACACAGGCAGGGGGTTAGGCCCATCCAAGGGCAAAGCCTGCACTCCCGTTGCTTCTGTTATACTCACTTGGAAAATACCATGTTCTCCCCACACAGCACTGTCATATCTTCCACTAACATTACATCAAAAGGAAATGGCAAAGGATTCCAGGGAGATTTAGAATAAGCCCTTCATGCAGGGCATTTCCTCCTTATTGGAGGACCAATACATGCTAAAAAAGGATCACAAAGATTATGAGTTTACCCTTTCCACTCATGTTCCCAGTCAACTGCAAATCTACTGACTTAACCAAGGAGCATCAGCCCTACCTAGGCAGCCTCAGGAATGCTAAAGGTTGTTCCAACCAGGGGCAGTAGGAGGCTTTACCTCAGAGGTGGTCAGTCCCAGCTGGCGTGCACCTGAGAGGTCCAAGTCACTGATGGTGGTCACCGTTACAATGTGGTTTGGGTGGTCGATGTTCACAGACTCTGTCCGCGCTGTCACCAAGTGCTCTAGTTCATCAACCTCATCTGAGGAGGCAAGAAATCCCACACTTCAATCTGTCAGCTTCTCACAAGTCAGCCTTACACTCATTCCTACATCACCATACTGGGGGAGAGACCCAGTTTTTGCATAGAGAATTAGCAGGTGGTGAAGCTGAAACACTGGCACTGCAAGCACGGAAGGCAAATACCTTCCGACAGAAGATTTGTAATGGCTTGGAGATGTCACCCCATTTGTTCCCTTCTCTTTAACACCCCATTTGCTCTCCTGATTAGGCACCAGGGGTGGCAAAGTTCACCATGCAGCCCAGGATGCTGATGGTTACCCTGCTCCTCAGGGAGGCGTGAAGCCGTGAGCCCCAAAAGACCACGCAAGTKCCTCTGCTCCACCTGCGACCCTTCAGCCAGGCTCGCTGTGTGACCGAGCCGAGATTCCCCGCCAGCTTCAGCACCTCTCTCACCAGCTCTGGCCTCCTCTCRCACCGTGCGGGTAACACCTACCGAGCGCCTCTTCCCTCTCGCTCAGCATCTTCAGGTACTCCTTGTGCCGCTGCGGGATGGGAACAGTCACTGCCAAACCTCCGCCGCACCAAGGGGCCGGCCGCGTCCCCGCTCCAGGAGCGCCCCCTCCCCGCCACACGGGAGCCCCGGCGGCGCCCCCGGGGCTCGCCCCGGCAGCCGCCCCGCACCTCCTCCCTCATCTTCCTCTGCTCCTCCTTCAGCTTGCGCCGGATCTCCTCCAGGGCCACCCTGCGCCGCTCCACCTTGCGCTTGTGGAAGCCGGTCAGGTACTCCCTGGAGAGGGAGCAAACCGCGGGAGCTCTCAGCACCGCCGGTGCCGCGGGCGGCTCCCGGCGGCGGCACCGCCCGCCCTCACCTCCGCCGCTCCTCGTCGAAAGTCACCACGAGCCGCCCCACGGCGCCGCTCGCCCCCTTCTTCTTCTTCTTGCCCATGGCGGCGCCCACGCCGCGGCCTCGCGCTGCCGCCCGCCCCTTCCGCCGCCCGGCCCGGCCCGGCCCGGCCCGGCGCGGCGCGGCCCCGCCCGCCATTTTGTGCGGCGCCGCGGCCATGCGCGGGTCGCGCCCGCCGGTCCGCATGGGGTCCGCGCTCTGCCCGCAGCAGCGAGCAGGAGCAGAGCAGGGATCTGTCCCCCTCGTTGCCCTGCGCGCATCGGCGTGGGGATGGCATCCGTGCAGCCTCCTGCGTGCCCCTTGCCTGCTCCTGGCGCGTTTTCTTCCACTTTGGGAGAAGGAAGTTGCTGCCACAGCTCTGGGTGGTACCAGTGTTCCGGCATCTATGCAGAGCCTTGGCTACAGCCTGAGGGGAGCAGGAGGTTTCTCCAGGTCCCTGTGCCACTGGCTCATGGTCCTTAGTGTACTGCTTCCTGCAGAGGTGTTGAAAAGGTCTCAGGTGTCCTCAAAACRGGGTGCAAAGGTCTTCAGCCACTAGGGTCATGGCTGTGAGACCTGCTCTTCCATTCTTCCAGATAGCCCATATCCATATCTCTTTAATAAAGATCTTTAAGCTTATTGTCTGTCGTACTGCTTGGTGCCTGTGGCATCTCCACCTMTTCTGGGAGGGCAGATGTGGGGTTGGGTCTCTTGCTGAGCCTCCCAGAAGGACACACGACCTCTCCAAACAGCCACAGTTCCTGTACTTGATGGCAGAGAGAGGTACTAGCAAAGGTCAGGGGGAATCAGGACTGCCAGGTTCATTCTTCACTTGAGTGACTCTGGCTGAGTCTCCTGAACCTTGTTCTCTGGCCCTTGTCTTAATAGTGGGTCTTACACTGCTGACTTTGGTGGGAGCTGCTGGGGCGCTGTGGGCAGTGACAAAGCCAACTCCAGCCCACAGAGCGTGAGGACTTGTGACACGGGCTGGCGGCTGCTCATCCACRGCCACCTTAGCGCTTTATCAGCCCGCCTGCTGCTTGTGCTCTTTTCCTGGCCTGTCCTTTCACCAGCAGAAATGCGGAAAAACCAGTTCTTGTGGTTAATTGCTGCACTTCCCTCCACGCCCATGGGGTAGGCCTCCTTCTCCTCCTTCTCCTCCTYCTTCTCCTCCTCTCTGGCAGTCTGGGTGCACTTTGGCCTCCAGCCTCTTTGGCCCTGGCTGTGCAGTGCCACTCAGGCGCTCCCAAGCCTTTGCAGTCCTTCGGTTGACCTTACGGCTTCTCCCGCCTTCCCCTTTTCCCTCCTGCAAAATCCTCTAGCTGCCTCGTGTCCCTTTCTCCCAGGACAGCCCAGGGGGTTGGATTACAGGTGCAGAAGACACAGGCAGCTGCCCTCTTGGCCTGACCCGGCCCTGCCCAGAGGGACGGCATTTAAACATGATGGCTGGAGGCAACGAGAAGAGTGCGAAGGCCCTAAAGGAGGTGTGGAGAAGAGCAGAAAACTCCTTGTGCGCAGACTGTGGGAAGCCGGGTGAGTCCTCGAGGGCCTGGAAAATGCTGTTGGAGTCAGRAGTGGAGAGCGGGGGCTAGTTCCTAGTGATGATTCTGGTCCATTTGAGGCTGGGGGGCAACTGTGGAGGAGAACAGCGAAGAGGGGCAGTGCGGAGCTGGGGTTCTTGGAAGCTGCGTGTAGCCCAGCAGCACATCCTGATGTGGTTTGGTACCTGTTGTTGGAACTGCAGAGGACCCACATGGTGGAGGGAGAGAAGAGCCGTTGCTCTGGCTGGCTGTTAGTGTGCTGTGTCTGGGGGCGAGTCAGGGARGTGGTGGGAAGGAGGTGCTGGAGGAACCCTGGAGTGCTGGATGAGCAGGGGCCGTGCAACGGCAGCACYGAGGGCTGTAATCGAGTCAAATCTCAAACAGAAATCATGGTCAGGCCCAGTCAGGACCTGACAGGAAAGTTCCCAACAAAATCCTCGCTGCTCCAGAAAGAAGGCATGATTCAAGTGGGCATTGCCTCCTCTGTGACTCATCTCTAAATTGACAASCATAGCCATAGCCCCTGTGCCCTGAGATTTTTTTTTTTTTTTAATTATTAAAGAGTTTGTCCTACTGAAAAGGTATCAATTTGAGGTCCTACAAAAGCTGTACAAATGCCCATCACACTCCCCCCACAGGGACTTGTGGTTTGTACCACCCAGGCCGAACTGACATTGGGCTGGTTAACAGTATTTTACCTACTTAAATTTACCCTTGGTATTTTTTTGCATTATATTTTTTGCATTCAAAGTTGCTTTCTACTTCCTGAGCTAAATACTGTTGTGGGTTTGCTGTGAYGCACTAAGCAGCCCCTGGAGTCCCAGAGGGGGCTGCGTTTTGATCTGGGATGATTCTTTACATAATGGGAATCTGCAGACTGCTTTGGAACTTGTCAGGATTCAAGTCAATAGAGATTTAAGAGTAAATAACTGAAGTGAAAAGAACAAAGTGATAATAGTTATTCTTTTTTTTCCAGATTGGCATCTCTACCCTAGGAGGTAAATAATCAGCCTAGAACAAACAGTGCTTACCCAGTTCTCTGTTTCTTGGCTGTAGAGGCATATATATATCCCAGGAAACTTTGCCTCTGTTATTGATATTYCTTTTTGTACTTTCAGATCCTGACTGGGCCTCCTCTACATTGGGTGTCTTTATATGCCTCAGCTGTTCAGGAATCCATCGCAACATCCCTAGCATCAGCAAAGTGAAATCCCTGAAGATGGACCACTGGGATGATGCTCAGGTGAAGGTGAGATCTTTATCCTCACTGTTATGTCAGGTGGGTTGMGGCTAGGCCGTGCACTAGTGTGTCCCGGGAAAAACAGGCATCATACATTTGGAGATTTGATCTGATAAGCAGTCCTGGTTCTGCTAGCTGTGCTCTGAATACTCACGTGGGGTTAATTCTCATAACCCAAATGGCGAGGGAGGATGGCCTTGTCTTATGTGTCTCCCCATGTGCTGTTATTTTATGGCTGGAACAGAGATGTTCTTGCAGAGTATCTTGTCAAGCTAAAAGGTCCTCATTACTCCACATGACCTATTTCCTACAGCTCGTATCACCTAATCTCAACATCTCCTCTTAGTTTCAGCATTGCAAGGGGATTTCTTAGACAATTCCATGCTCCAATAAGAGTTTCCATATTTACTGACATGAATGGGGACTAGAGCTTTCCCTGCTACTTGCCCCCCAACTCCAAATCTGTTGGCTTGGGTGCATTCTGTTGGCTTGGGTGCAATCAGCGTGACTTCTGAGGGTAGACAAGACCTTTGAGAACCATATTTCTGTGGCTGAACTTTATTGGGCTGTTTCAATGGAGGAGAGAGTCATCATTATGACTCAGAGCGCATCCGTCCTCTCCTATTACAGGTAAGAAAAAGTCCCAACCTGACTTTGCATCAAAGGGAGAGTGTTAATTCTCTGTCTAACTTTACAGTTCCTGGCCCATCACGGGAATGCTGTGACCAAAGCCACATACGAAGCTCACATCCCTATTTACTATTACCAGCCAACCTACAATGACTGCCAGTAAGTTGCTGTATATAAAAGGAAAGGGGGGAAGGCAGTTCTGGGTTCCTATAGTTCATTTCTCATCTATGTGTTGTTTCTCCCTAGAGTGCTGAGAGAGCAGTGGATAAGGGCTAAATATGAACGCAAAGAATTCACCGAACCAGGGAAACAGCTGCCATACTCTGATGGTAAGAGCAAAGCACAGCTTCAAAAGGTCCTGTTTATCTCCTTCTCTGGAAGTCTTTGATCACCTGGAGGAGAAAGCTCTCTTGAGCACCTGTCTGGTACTCACTGGGCATTGTTCTGGGGGAGCTTAAATTGTGGGCAGTGTAGGTTGACAGTGTCATGGGGTATTCCAAGACTGACAGTACCAGCTGGCATCATTCAAAGGCATTTGTTGCTAGTAGAGCCAGACAGACCTCTGCAGAAAGGAAGTTCTGTCCTGTTTCATGCCACCCCGAGCAAACCACAGCATTTGTCTTTGAAATGCCATTGCCAGCACTGTGACACAAAATGTTGAAGCCTCAGGGCTTGCAAAGKCAAATAGGAAGAGTTCTGGTCCCATGCCAGCTGCCTGCGTGGGCCGGGGCTGTGGTGACCATGGGGAGAGACAGCTCCTACCTTCAGAGAGAGTAGCAGCAGCCTGCCCAGGAGGTGCAAAGCATCTCTGAAGGTCTTATGGTGACTAGGGATCTGGGCTACCAACCCAGGAAGCGAGAGACACCTTCTCAGGTGCCTGTTCTTGGCAATACTTCATAAGCTGCTGCACATAGCTCTCACTTGCCTACTGTGTCTGTGGGAGGATGCTCTTAAAAGTGGCCTTTCTTGTAGGGGTGAAGGAAGGCATTCTCTGGAAGCGAGGCCGAGACAATGGGCAGTTCCTACCCCGCAAATTCCTCTTGTCTGAGAGAGAGGGATGTCTGAAGTATTTCACCAAGCAGGATGTAAGTATGGTGGTCGGTTCCACCTGAGGCACTGAAGTCACAGAGACCTTTYTAATACATGTGTTTCTGAGAATTCCTTGCTCATTCCAGACCAGGGATGATAATGGAAAAAACATGTCACTGAGGAGAGGGCCTCCTTTCCTACTGTCAGGGTGACATTTCCCCCATGTCCTCCTTTGTGCTTCCCTACAACCCTTTCCTTGGAACAATCTCTTTGCTGATATTAATGATAATAATTACCACTTTCTTTAGATTCCCCTTTTCTTGTCTCACCAGTGAATCTCAGGAGACGGGTTTGAAACAGTTAAGCTCACTGTTGACAAGAGAGCTTCTTTTTAGCTCTGTCCCTATCCTGACGGTAATCTTGCCTTTTCTCTGGCACCAGCCTGACAGCTGGCTTGACCTCACTGGAGCTAGTTCAAGAGCGGGTGCAGCTCGAATCTAAATTGGAGGGACTGAGCCACTGTTCAGTCTTGAGCACACAGTRAAGTGGGTGTGTGCTGCAAGAGTTTTGATAGGAAAGGACACTTAGACCTTTTAAAACACTCTGACCTTGCCGTACACCAC